GTGGTGGTCAGTGGTGCCGGGATGAAGAAAAACCATGAGAAACGGCCCAGAATCCGAGAAATGGGACCCCTTCTCTGCCGTTGGTTTCCGCATTGATGCGACTCTCATCGATGCTGCCCTCTTCAACGCTAACGCTCTCTCTCTCTCTGCTAAACGCTAGAGGGTCAAACGGCGAGAGGGGGCGTGACGCGGCGCAAGCGACGCGGGGTGTGGCCATGCAGGTCGAAGGGGCATATCTTTCGCTGCGAATCTTGAATCTCGTGAAGAACTCACCACTTTTTCGATCCACTTCGAACGGAGCATCACCATTCAGGGTGAACTCGCATTCAGAGGAATTGGTATGCACTTGTGCCACAAAGGTGCCCACGGGTGAGTCCTCTGGTATAGAAACGCTTAGCTCTCGTTCGACAACCACTGGTGACAATGTCAGCTTTGCCTCGTTATAGATCTGAATAGTGATCTTATCAGGACGGTTTTGCATCCATAGAAGCAGTCTGAAACCGACCTTCAGTGTCGCATTTGCTTGACGTTGTGGTAGTTGTCCGTCGCTGGCGACAAAGACCAGTTCATACTCGGATTTCTTCATATCGATGGCGTTTTTGAGGAGTTTCAGGATTGAAAATTGCCTCTGCACATTGAGCTCGAAAACATTCTCTTCGTTACCGGACTCTATCCACACAGAGGACGAATCTAAAAAAGTATAAACTCTGGGCAATCCACATCGACTTTGTGCTGAGTGGAACTTACAAAAAAGTCCTAAATTGTTTATTATTTATTTATTTACTATTTTTTATGTAGATATTGAGAACCCACAAGCAAGATTTCCATTCAAACAGACCCTATATTCCAAAAACTTCATACCTGATAGCGGCCCGTCTTCATCTGTTACCGTAAGCACAGCCACAGTTTTGCCAGCGGTAGCACCAACCTCAATCAGTGCAAAATCAACCGTCGAAGGGTGCAACCTGGAAATAAACAATAATTTAATTTTATTAATTTAATTTTAATTAATTTGATAATTTTTTCTCAATCACATTTTGGTTAATACATACTGATCTACCCATACCTGATGGTTATTTGTGGATCATGGAGATTCTCGTTGCTGAGTAGGATTCTGAGCAGTACGGTGCACTCTCCAGCGGAGGAATTCCATTATCTGCAGCGTACTTGAATATCAAAGCATATCGGTTAGCATATGAGTGGCTGTGGACCAAACATGGTGGGTATGTGCCTCGCTAAAAATCAGAAATATTTTATGAGTTGTTCCCTAAAAAATGCCACCTGGAGAAACGCTGAACGGTACTGTGGGTATTGTAGGCATACTTCTTGACACTCAATGCGGCCGGCTGTCTTGCACTCTATAATAAACTGCTTGCATTTGATCGCTAAGAGCGAACACGTACAGTAATTCTCAGTTTCCCACGGTGGAACGTGTCGCAATTGCGGACTCCGTACCCCACGTGGAAATGGCTGTGAAAAAATCGATTTTGTATATTTTTGGTGCCTTTGATGCTATCTGGTATCACGTATGTTACTACATAAACCAACAATATGCAGCCCTTGTTGCTCGGAACGCTTCGTTTGAAAACCACCTGCTAGAAGTTTATCGAAAGCGCTTCGCAATATGGGCACTTACTGAGACTAACCTAGAAGGGAGCAGCTGCCGGGAAAGTCGAAAATGTCTCACTCATCCCCCCCCTTCTTCTTCCAATCCTTTCAGGCACCGCCGTTACCCATGAACAGCATCAAAGCGAGTACGCAGTGAGTGTGCACTAACCGCGGTTTTGAAGCACTGATGCCAACCCGCAATGCCACCCTATCTTGCGATAGTGCCGTTATAAATTTTATGTCTCCACGCCTTACTCTCTTCCCAAAAAATTAGCAAAAACACCACCCACTCCACTCTATAGCCCCCTCATCCTTCCCCAAACCCTTCCATTCCTTTCTTCCTCATCTTTTTCCTGTTTCACCGCCATAAATCCATCAACGAACTATTCCAAATAGTTTTCTGATGGACTGTCGGCGAACACAAAGTGATACGAAGTTATAACGGAACAATCGCATGACAAGGATCGTTGACGGCCCTGGCGAGTACGCCACACGGCAAACCCCGAACGCGATTTGCCTGTCAGCCAAGGTCAACGACGCTAACATGCCGTGAAAAATTTGATTTGAAAATCCCACAGAAAGGGTGAGTGTCGGAGGCATTTACGGGTGAAAAAGACCTGAAGGCAGATTCTACGTATGAAAACGTGGTTGGGAGAGTGGGGGGGAGGGAGGGTTAAAAGGGGAAACTTTAAAAGGAAGGATTAATACTGAAAAGATAGGCAAGAGGGTTGGATATAGAGGTTCGTATTACGGGCAGTTAAACCGTATGATGAAGTTGATACTAAACTCTTCTTTGCAATGCCATTTTACCACCTGCAGCACATTGTGGCCCGACAAAGAAAGTACTTGGCGCTTGAACGGAGGCCCGACGGACGCACGAGATCGAGCAAGAGAAGAGGGGGTGCTTGAAGGAGATGGGTAAGGCGAAGTCACGTATAGTCACTCCCTTGGCCAACTAAAGCTCTTGTGCCCTTTTCATCCTTGATCTGCAAATAGAGCATAATCTTCACGCCTAAGACGGACGTGCTCCCAGTTAGATTATCGTGAACTGTGCCTTTAAATCTGCATTTTGAAGTCGTCGTCATTGAATTATGACTGGCTAAAGTGCTAAGTGGAGGTATTTGATCAGCTAGGATTGCCCTATCGCATCTAGCGTTACAGTAGTCGCTTCAAGATGTATCACAGTGTAGCCCGTGTCTTGCGTGTGTCAAATTTGGCTCTGACTGGGAAGAGCCGTTTTCATGCCTTTGGGAGCACACCGCCAATTTCAATTATGGACCTTGAAGTGGTACTCGGGCGTGACCATCTGCTGGTGTCTAACCAGCTTACCGTATGAAAGCTAATTGGGGATATAATTGCGCTTTTATAAGTGGGTTACGTAACCTCTCAAGTTCTCCTGACGCCACCCGTTGGTTTTACCTTTTGACTTTTGAATTTGGACCGGATAAATTTGCCACCAATCCTTGTCGGTTGGGATCGAATTTCTTCTTCAAGTGTAAGCTTTACCATATTGCGAGCCTCGCTCTTCCCCATTTTCGGACCTGTTTCATCAATTCATTACTGCCAATGTCAACCCTAGTTGACGTTGTTTGGTATTGTATTATTTGTTTGGAGACCGACCTTGATGGGTGCGATTCATGGGGTATTGCTGTTAGGGGCGGAGGTTACGAGTGTGAGGTCGAGAAAGAAGAGGAATAGTGCCTGAGTGAGATCAAACACACCTGCTGTAGAGTGTCTAGGAACTCAAGAGAGGAATGGTGCGATCCCTTTGAATCACACGGTACAACAATTTTCCTCTGTTTACCCCCAGAAAGCCAATAAGACCGCCATTTTTGGATATACAAAGTTGAAAATGTAAAATGCATGGCTTACTCTAGCAAAGACGCGATTTCCATCTACGAGGAAATGTTCCGATTCTGGTCCCGGGATACTGTAGATGATTTCGCCATTCTTGCCACGATCCGCATCTGTCGCATTCAGCGAGAGAATCGGCACCGAAGCCCGTCCTGAAAAGGGAATTTGAGGAATTATTGTTAAATTATTAAAAACCAGTTGGCGCCGCACGCGTTGCGCGCACAGCACAGTTTTGCAGCGATATGGGGTGGTGCGGCGTAAATTCTCGAACAATGGCAGTTGACCTCCCTTTCGTTGACGGACTCAGTTCACCTTTTTCCCGGTCTCCAGGACCTCTTGGAACCGAGTTATGAATTTTCGTTGATAACTCCGCCCACT